GCAAATATATCGACGATGTATTGTCAATTAACAGTGGTTAATTCCATATCTACGATACTGTATACAGATATCCTGTGAGCTTGAGATAAAAAAAATACCACAGAATCTGACACATCTGTTTCATATTTTGATATTGTACTTCAAAAATAGGTTAATGGAAATCTAACAACCGAGCTTTATGATAATGTGATGACATTAACTTTTCAATCATCAACTTCCCTTAGTTACTTATGCAGCAATTTTTATATTCCATATAATTTCCTTTAAGAAATAAATTAAATATCTGCGACATTCAAATCTTTAAAAAACACTTGAAACCTTGTCACTGCGCGTTAGAATGCACAGTGGGAACTATGTGTAATTTTAAATACTCTAGAAACACCGATATGAACAATGTTTTAACGCAATTTAATGATCAATTAAGACGCCCATGTCGCTCACCTGGGTAACTTTGACTATGTTGTTCTTTACCTTGTAATACATTGCATAACTTATTGCGACCCCCCTACCCCCGTGGGGCATGATTCGTGATTTGAAGAATTTAGAATCTAAATTACCCCATTTTTTTCCTATTAGCTTTGATGTAAAACTTTGATTCCCTACTGTAGCCCCGCCCTATCCACAGGGGTTCTGATTTTTACAATTTAGAATCTACCCAACATCAGGATGATACCACATAAGTTTCAGCTTTTCTGACCCAGTGGTTCTTGAGAAGAAGATTTTCAGTGACCCCACCATATTCTTCTCTTTTCCTGATTATCTCCCCTACTAAGGTAACTTGGTCTTTTATTTATTTTTTTTTAAATTAAACTCCCCTTCCCCCAAGGCGGCTTAATACCAAGTTTGGTTAAAACTGGCCCAGTGGATTGTGAGAAAAAATGGAAAATGTGAAAAGTTTACAAAAGGATAGACGACTGACAAAATGTGATCAGAAAAGTTCACTTGAGCCTTTGGCTCAGGTGAGCTAAAAACTATTAACCTGTTAAATTAACAAATGTGCTTTTAAAATTAATTTGACTTTTGTATTCCTCACAATATTCGTTTGCGTTATTTAATTTTGTGTCGTTTACTGATTTTGATTTGAAAGTCAAAATAAGTACACGACTTTGTACTTATTTTGATTTTCAAATCAAAATCAGTAAACGACATTTGCAACGTAACAAAATGCTATTATGTCTATTAAGAACAACTGTTTTGAAGGCCAGTAAATTCTTTGAAGAATAGCGAAATTAAAAAAAAATCATCAAGAGTGGAAATTAGATAATGTAAATATGAGCAATGAATATTGCTGTCGTTGGTCCTATAACACACAGTCAGGTGTATTATAGGACTGATGTCATCCAAAATTATTAATTCAATGCTTAAATATACCTTCATCCTACCACAGTTAACATGAAGACGATGATAGTGCTTTACCACACTTCATATTGACAGTTAAATTGATACCACTGAGGCAGGATTTCTGTGTCTGTAGACAGTTCACGATATCGTATGCACCTGTTAACGGTGTTTATATCTCTCAGATGATTCGATACGCAAGAGCATGAGCTGCTTATGTACAGTGTCTAAAACGAAGTAAATTATTGACAAACGAGTAGATGAAACAAGAATACAAGTAGAGTTTTCTTTTTAAGTTTACCGTCTTTACCAAAACATTAAATAATAAATTGATCTACCCCTATCATGCCGTATTATTCTTTTGAATTTCTTGATTTTGTATTTTTACTTTACATTTTTACTGGCATTAGCCCTACCACTTTTTTGGCTCGGCCTCCTACTCCTCAGTAAACTTTCTTTCGGCAAACCTCGACTGATTTCGTTACTTCCTGATCATGACAAGGACACATGGCGGGTGTGACCCGTCGGCAGGGGATGCTCACTCCTCCATGGCACCTGATCCCACCTCTGATGTTTTAGAAGTCCGTATTTGCTCTTCTCTGTATTGTTAAATGGACTTTTGAGCCGGAATACTGGAATTGTTATGTATTTCATCTTATACATGTACAGGGTGATAAATGATGTGGAATGATTTTCGTAGAGAAAAGAGATACAGTTAACATAACTGTTTGCATGGTGTTATTTTACTATTTAAAGGGACTCTTTTACTTTTTTACTGAAATATTTCCTATTAAGATTAAAGATGAAAATTTAATTAAGGTCTTCCGTCTTCAGCGGAAGACTTTATTGTTTTTCTTCGGTTTCTTTTTCACTTTTATTAAGGTCTTCCGTTTCCAACAGAAGACTTTATTGTTTTCGTTCGGTTTCTTTTTCCCTATTATTATTATTATTATTATTATTTTTCTTCCGACTGATTTTGTGCAAGCGATTTCTCAGAAGTGGCTCGTCCGATTTATACCAAACTTTCAGATCTTGAAGATATTCAATTGAAATTGATAGGTTTTTTTGCTTTTTGATGATTTCACTTCCGGTTGTGAGATATGGTCGATTTTCTGATTTTCAGAGGGTCGGCTTGTCCAGGAACGACTTAAGATATTGACTCAAGATTTTCAGTGAAAGTAAAAGAAGGTTTAGTGAATTGTAATTGGGTCTCCAAATATTTCTAGCTCAAAAGGCGCCGTAGCTCGGTAGGGCCCGAAAAAATGTCTCAAAAATATCTCACAAAATTTGGCACATTTTGTTTCATATCTTCATACCTGTTAATAATTTGTTATAGCATATTGAAGAAAAAATGTGCAAAATTACAGGACCTTTCATTTGATGTCAAAAAAATGGGGCTGACCCCTTAAATTAGGGGCTCAAAAGGGCATAAAGTCTTTTATCTATAACTCTCTAATGATCAATATTTTGTTATACATTACTGAAGCAAGAGTCTTCATCTTAACAATTTGCAACAATATGTGATAAGATTTTGATCATATGTTACGCAATTATGGGTCAAAAGGGGCCAGAATGTCAAATCTTTGACGCTTTATATCTCAAAAAGGGGGAATATTTTAATAAGCAATATTGAGCAAAAGATAGTCAGAATGATGTTCTAAATAATATGCATACTTCAAATTTTTGTAAAACGACCCCATAAAGGACTTGGAAGGGTGGCCCCTAAATATTTCCATTTAGCATATCTCCATAACAAATAGAAATCTCTGAATAAGTGCTGAACAAAATATCTTTAAAATCACAAGACCTTTCATTTGATACCAAAAAATGTGGCTGGCCCCTCAAATTAGGGACTCAGAGGGGCCAAAAGTCTTTTTTCTATAACTCTCTAATGATCAATATTTTGTTATACATTACTGAAGCAAGAGTCTTCATCTTAACAATTTGCAACAATATGTGATAAGATTTTGATCATATGTTACGCAATTATGGGTCAAAAGGGGCCAGAATGTCAAATATTTGACGCTTTATATCTCAAAAAGGGGGAATATTTTAATCAACAATATTGAACAAAAGATGGTCAAAATAATGTTCTAAACAATATGCATACTTTGAATTTTTATAAAACGGCCCCGTTAAGGACTTGTAGGGGTGGCCCCTAAATATTTCTATTCAGCATATCTCCACAACGAATAAAAATCTCTGAATAAATACTGAACAAAATATCTTCAAAATCACAAGACCTTTTATTTAATACCAAGAAAAAGGGGCTGACCCCTCAAATTAGGGACTAAGAGGGGCCAAAAGTCTGTTATCTATAACTCCCTAATGATCAATGTTTTATTACATTTTACTGAGGCAAAAGTATTCATCTTAATGATTTGCAACAATATATTATAAATTCTTGGTCATAACTAACGTAATTAGGGTTGCAAGGGACCAAAATGCTATATTTTTTATGCTTTACGTCTCGAAAAGGGGGAGCATTTTTTAGACATATTGAACAAAGGATGCTCAGAATATCATGATAAAAATCAGAAACTTTAAATTTAATGAAGAAAAACTTAATGTCAATCTCTTTTAACTAACATCGCAGTCAAAATCACATCTCATCTAATCGAGAAATTCAACGGAAGACCTACTCGTTGCTCGCAACGAGATCTCATCTAGTTATTATTGTTTTTTTCTTACCGATTTTTTGCACGCGATTTCTCGAAAAAGGCTCAACAAAGTATTCTGAAACTTTCAGGACGTATGGAACATCACTTGAACCTTATGCGTTTTGTTCCGTTTTGATGACGTCACTTCCGGTCTAGAGATATCGTTGATTTTTTGATTTTTAAGGGTCATTTTGTCCACAATTTTCCCTAAAAACGGCTCTAGGTAGAAACTTCAAACTTTGAGGCTAAGTAGAGCTATGTCTGGAGAGGTGCATCAGGTATATCAAATTTACCGGAAGTGACGCTCGTCGGCGCTCGCTATGGCCCGAAAATAGACATATCATAAATTTCAAAATTTCTCACACCTTTCTTCGATATCTTTTTACCTGAAAATATTTTGAGAAAATATATAGAACAAAAGATGTGTAGAATTCCAAGATCATTCAAACGATATCTCGAAAAAAGGGCTCGCCTCAAAAATTAAGGGCGTAGAGGGGCCGAAAGTTTTTCCTTTATATCTCAAAAAGTATTGAGAATTTGTAATACGTCAAAGAAGCAAAGTTGTTCAAAATGTCAAGCTCTATCTAAGGGGTCGTCAAAATACGTCTGGTGACGTAACTTCCGGTCAAACCGGAAGTAGTCAAAAATTGCATATTTTTGCTGTTCTTTACAGGTTTCTGGATACTATATGTCACTAGAAGATTAAATATTAATTTTCCGTCCATGGACGTCACTTCCTGTAAAACCGGAAGTAGCCGAAAATGGCTTAATTTAGTAATAATTAACATAGATTTGGAGGATTAAACCACTTTTGGACTTCATTACTCTTTTTTTTTTAAATGAAAGTTACTTCACATCAAAAAGGACGGAAGATCTACTCGATGCTTTGCAACGAGCTCGGCTCTAGTTTTTTTTTTTATTATTATTTTCATTTTTTTCTTTTGGAAAGTATGTCATTTGTTTTCTTTTCAGATCATACTAAATATTTCTCTTCTTTTCAAGTCTTGGATAAACGTGTCTGTTTGCCTCGGTATGCATACCACAAATGGCTTGTGGACTTGAGTTTAGAAGGGGCAGACTTGATAGAAGGTTTTGCAGTTGATCCAATGACGGAATTCACTGTTTTAGTTGGAGGTGATTTGAGTAAGGAGAACGAATCTCTTTTAAGTTCAGAAACTGCTGAAGGAACTTGCTTCTCGGAGTTAACAACGGGTAAATTTACTTAAAGTAAACTTGTTTGATTATCTGATTGATGTTTTACTTCCTTGCAAGAATTTTTCACTCATATAAGACGTCGCCAAAAATAAAGTAAAGGGCTTCATATTAGACCGATACTCAACTCTCGGGTTTATTAAAAAGTGGTGGCTCTTTATCTTGCAAACACCTTCTGTGAAACGAGACTTATGCTTATATAAACTCTTACAAAAGTCCTTTTCCTTTTCTTATGTCGTGCAATTTGCTATGAAACGGTCACTACAAAGTTTACGACTTCAGTTTGACATTGCGAGTCAAACAAAAATCAAACCAGGGTATCCAATTAAAGCAAGCCCTCTCCCCCTGGGCTAATTTGACTGGTCATGCTGTATTTAAAAAGGCTTTACAAATTATATTTCCTTAATATCACAAAAATGTATACCATAATTTAAAATACCGGTACTTATTTATATTAAGACGCATTATGCAAGTATCCTGAAATATTTATTTTAATGATGCACAATATGAGGTCTTTGTGTTAAAATTACTACATGTACTTGAATGTATAATTATGCGCCTGGATCTTTAGATCCGTGGTGTATATTGTTTTTGTCCTGCCTGTCTGTCTGTCTGTTTGTCAACAAACTTTAACTTTCACCGTAATCTTTGAACCATGAAAGATAGAGACTTTATATTTGGTGTGCCTAAACCACTAAATATGTTCTTTCAAACCACATCAAGGTCTATGGCCTTGTGACCTTAATTGTGCCTTTTATGCTAAAAATAGTTTTTCTTTCGTCTGCAAACTTTAACCGTCTCCATAACTTTCGAACTTTGAAAGACAGAGACTTAATTTTTGGTATGCATACTCCACTAATTAAGCTCTTTCACACAAACCAAGTTCAATACCCTCATGACCTTGATTGTGACTTTTATGCTAAAAATAACTTTTGGTCCACGACCTTTAACCGTCGCTATGACTTTTGAACCATGTAAATTAGAGACTTATGGTTGATATGCTTACTCTCCTAACTACTGAGTAAGATCTTTGAAATGACACCAAGGTCATTGACCTTCTGACCATGACTTTATGTGACCTATATGAAGAATATTTTTTAAACCTTTTCTATATTTTCTGAACCATGGGAGATAGAGACTTAATATTTAGTATGCGTACTCCAATAACGCTCTTTCATATGACATCAAGTTCAATAAATTTGAGATCTTGACTGTGACCTGTATGCTAAAAATAGATTTTGTCCACAAAATTAAACCTTCGCCATTATATTGAACCATGAGAGAGAGAGAGAGACTTAAGATGTGATATGCTTACTGCACTAATTAAGTTGCTTCAAACAACTTTTTCTTTTGATCTTTCACCATAACTTTTGAAGCTTGAGAGATAGAGATTCCTTTGATATTCGTACTCAACTAATTAAGTTCTTTCAAATGAAACCAATTTCAATGACCTTGTGACCGCGACTGTGGCATGTATTCTAAGAATATTTTTTGTACCTCACGATACCTTTTGAACAAAAGAAGATAAAGACAGCATATTTGGTGTGCAAATTCCACTAATGTTCTTTAAAAAGCACCAAGGTCAATGAGTGTGACATTGACTGTGACCTTTATGCTAAAAATAGTTTTTTGCGAACTATGTTGCCGCAAGCCGCATAGTGTTTCAAAAACACGTCTTATTTATAATGAATTCTAGAGTATGAAAACTTAACATTCTAGTGCATGGTTGCATACATTAAATATGTACAACGAAATTATTGTCTTAGCAAGAATACTATATATTATCCGTGGGAACACCTTCAAATAACTACATGTACTTCTAATTTTTCTTTGCTTATCCTTTCAAAATATTATACTAAAATCCATTACAAAACTTGAAAAACCAATGTCCAATTTTCATTGAAATGTGCAAACACAGATATTTAATGTTAAACAAAAAAGGTTAACATTTTTTGATGTTCCAAACTAAGTTTTACATATCAACTATGAATTGATTTTTTATTATTTAAACAGAAATGGTTGTTGGTGTTCATTTAATTTTCATCTACTTCATGACGCAAGATGACTTGGGGAAAACAGAAAGTCTATTATCATATTTAAATGCGGTAATTATGTTCCATAAATGTTTATCAGTTTTAAGTCTCATTTTCTTATTAGAATTAAGGGTTTTGTTTTGCTTTCATCCAAGAAGGATATGGAGATAATGAACAGTAATCAATATCGAAGTCCATAAAACAATACAAAACAGGAGCAGGGCAAACACGGACCTCTTAAACATCAGAGGTGGGATCAGGTGTCATGGAGGATTGAGCATCCACTGCTTACCGGTCACACCCGCCGTGTGCTCTTTGTTATGATTAGGAAATAACGGAAAAACCGTCGTCAATTCAGTGTATAAATAATGAACTAACAATTCGTATGAAAAATGTCTCTCAGTATTTGGTTCAATGATAAATTGTATTTATAGACAATGTCATGAAATCGACCATAGAACTTACGAAATGATGAATTTGAACGAGACTGCTGATATTCTTGTTTCATTAACTTGCTTGTCAATAAAGTGAAGCTCAAAATATCAAATATTGCTTATTTTTTAAAGTATTCTTTATGCATTTTTTCTGAAGTTTGATTTTCGGCTTAAGTAAAGGTAAAAATAGGAATTAGTCCGTTGGTATTTCTGGTACCGGCACTGCTATAAATTAGCAACCATGTATCAAACATTTAATACAAATCCCCCTACCGTTAATACTCTAGTTTGACAAAACCCGCGATCTGATGCACACCAATTCTGAGCAAATTAACTTTATTCGAGGGATCCAAGATTGTCAATGTGCTTCGCAACTAGGTTAAGGGCTACCCAAAGGTAGAACAGTGTATGCAGAGCCTCGGGAATTTGATTATGACGTCACGGTGAAATAGTACAAATGAATCTTGGCGAATAAATAATAATTTTCTTTTTCATATACTCTTACATACTTTGATTTCTCATGATTATTGTAAATATTAATCAATGTGTAACTTATCTTAATAGTATAACACTAATCGAATGTAAAATCAAAGCCAACTTGATCTCGCTGTACTAACAGATATGACGTCATAGGCTAGTTTGACACGCAGTTTCTCTGTACTTGAGACGCAGAAAAAGCTATTAGTGGAACTGAAAATATGAAAAATAAATCTATATTATAAGCGTGATCTGACTACAATTGATTCATATTTTTGAATGCATTAATCAATAGTTCAGAGTCTTATTTAATTGATATCTATTAGGTCTCATAAAGCCGCAGTCATGCACTTTTATATAGAAACGTACTACAAGCGTATGTACAACCCCTCCAAAATCTCAAAAGTTCAACGATATCCGCTTGATTATAAATTATAATATTTTATACACATGTAGATACTGTCCCTACTTTTTGTCCCCCGCTTGAAAAGTGGGGGATATTAATTTGGGTTTGTCCGTCCGTCTGTCCGTCCGTCCGTGTTTACGAGAGTGCATTTATTGGGTATTTTTCATGCCAAGATTGTACTTATTGGGTACTTTTTGCTTATTGGGTATACCCAATAAGAAGTGTCGCTGAATATGCTTAAAACACCCTAATTGGGTATTTGCAGGTTAGTACCCAACAAAACTTGGACACGACGATTTGTCCAAAAAAGTGTCCAAAAAAGTTGCTTTCACGGACGCACCGTGTTTTGTTGTTTCAGTTTTACATTCGGAACTCTAAATTCTCGAGAGTTCCGAAAATCAACTTCCGTTGATCCTGATCATAACAACGTTTGTTTTCATGGAAAAAAATATGGCGACTAAGAAACACTTAATGTCAACAAGATTTTCTGATTGACAAGAGAAAAGGTAAGTTTATTCGATTAATATTTATCCATTGCTGGGTTCTTGTTTAAGATAAATAGATTTTAATGTAATTTTGAAAACAATTGTGCACAAAATTAAAATAGATATATCGGAACAATTAATCCTAAGTTGCACTTGTTTGTATTTTGAATTTTCTCTGTCTTTTTAACTCTCTTGAGGGCGAGAAGTATTTAGTAAATGGTCGTATATTGTTAGATAATCTTTGATAAATCGAAAGTGTTTATTATTTGATTTTATATCATAACCAACTAAGTATGTTCTGATAATGTATATTGGAAAGGGAAATGAAAATTTTAACAATCGTGTGTTCATAAATCAGCTGTAAATACTAAATTATTGGTTCAGTAGACAGTATTACAATCGCAAAGTGAGCTGAGATGATGATAAATGGGATAATTGACAACTAAATAATTGTATGTAAGTTTATCTCATCTGATATGTAACTTTACTTAAGAGATTCATTGTATTACTGAAAAACTTTCAGTCAAAACAGTGCTTCTTTCTGTCTTTGATTTTGACTGAGTGTCTGCTTTCTTTTGATTTTTTTTAAAATTATTGTTTTTGTCATTTGTTTTAATTAATTTAAAACAATACTGAAATTGATATAGAGCTACTATAACTATTTCACATGATGGGTGTGTAATTAGCATCGCGCTACAGCCGGGGCTTCCATTTTTGAGGATGGGGCTAGTGGTTTTCTGCACTGAGGAATCCCCTTGGGCTATTAGGAATTTTAAAATATACATGTAATACATGACTGATTTACTTAAAAACGATCTTTTATTTCCTAATTTGAATTCCCCCTTTCCTTTGTTTGATATAGCAATATTTGCTTGTACATATATGCCTCACAGATACGTAATGAAATGCAAATATTCGTGCTAGTCCCGACTTTACGTATCGTTACGCCTGACTAAATTTAGGCCAAAATTTTACGTCTACTCATGGGTAAGCGTAAGTTATTGCGTAGAGTTAAAATAAGGCCTTTTTATTACTTTTAGCAAGTTCTAAAGAAAAAGTAAGGTTCTAAGAAGAATTTGAAATATAAACAATGCATTATTTAATTATACATATTATGAAGAGGGGGAGGGGGGGTGTTGTTACAACTACTTGGGGACGTAGTTGATTTGAGTAATAACGTACTCAAATAATATTTTGATAAATTTCTGCTGAGAAGAAAAGATTGTCTTATTAGAGATTT